TTCTTATATATTTTGCTTACAAAATTGTAATACTGTAATTTTTACAATGAACTGAAATTGATCAGAGAAACAATATTGTTTTTTTATATCATATTGCATCATACAGTTACTATTTTGTCTTACTACTTGAAATACTAAGTACCTTTTATACCAAGATGTTACTATTTCAAAACGACAATTAATTCGCACTAGTCATGTTTCTATTGTGATAGTAATCTTCTGGTTGTTTATTGTTCGGCTAAGCCTGACACGACTACACGTACTTTACCAATGGAATGATCAGCCTATGCATCACCAGAAAATAGTCTTCCCATTTCTTTCACAGAACGGTCTGTAGTTCTAAACGTATTGATTGTGTATGAGGTAATACTCCACACGAGACAATCTAGCAATTGTCTTTCAACTTCCTCAGAAAAGTTGACCTCAATGAATTACCGATTACCGGTATAACTTCCTTACGTTTAGTATCGCTTTCTTGTCATTGAATAAAAGTGCTTTTCATGTATTCTTTGTTGCATTTAGTCAATTTATTTGCGTTAACAATTTAACATCACATACCATTAACTTAATGTCGGTCTGTTGAATAGCTTAAACAAAACTACACCATCTGTAAGTTCCTTATTACCGTTCAAGCATCGCCAAAACGACACGTCTTCCCCTTTATGAGTAGTTATATGGCGGAAACAATGACATTGACAATGACGTTTTTCTGTAGCGAAAAATCAAAATGACGTAAAACATTTGCTGAGGATATCGTCACTTTGAGGGCAAATAAAAAAATAATGCGAATGTACAAATAATCCCCTTGCGTCGAAAGCGGTAACTTAGTGACAGTACAAAATAAATTACAAAGATCGTAAGACCCTCGCCATGTGAGATACAGATGGAGGGATATGGCTATATCGGTGACTAGAATGCTGTTTGTAAAATAAATGAGATTATTTCTGACGTTTACTCTCGATTGTTCAGTTACTTTCACGACAAAATTGGCGCACGTTATTAAAGTTGTTAAAGTACACTTTAGGAAAGATGGAAGGAGTGGGGGGAAAGATAAAAAAATAATACATTAGATAATACCGAGGTGGGAATATAATCGTATTTTGAATTCAAAATCGATAGGACTACAACAAGAAAACAACAGGAGATAATACAAAAAATGTCAACAAAAGAATTTTCAAGATAAAACAGGAGGTAACCTGAAAAAAGAAAGATTTTCATATGAACCTAACAACATAAAAAAGAAAATACCACCAGATTATCCAGAAGGTTAAACCTCTCCTACTTCATTGACAACGATATTACCAGTCGTGTGATATTAGGTCATATAAATCATTTTCGGTATAGCAAAGTTTGAGAAAGTAGAGTTCTGATAAGCACTCTGGTATGAAATGTCGGTTGACGTCAGACTTATATAGCATTTCAATTGATCACTAGTTCCTGCAATTAATTACTTGTGGCAGTATGAAAATGATTAGCCATGGTGCTTGTTATCTTCACTTCCCAAGCAGGGAGATAATTGTCAATGGTTGCTGATTATTGCGATATCTGAAAAGTCGCGTCTTTGTATTGACAGTAGAATTGTTCTTCCATTTTCTTTTTCGCATATTTTGTAGGACCACATTGTTTTTGTCAGTAGCTCCTCCAAAGACCTACACACCGTCAAACAGCGTTCAATCGTTTAATGTCACAAACTCACTTTCACCTACAGCCACTGTCTTTGCTATTAGTTATTCCTACTTTTTTTTGTCACTTTGAATTTTGTTGCATCACACTTACACCAACTGAAATTAAAAAACATCTCCTGATCAATTTGGCTTGCTACTCTAGTCTCTAGTAAACGGATGAAAGGAGGTCGTTCGTAAGAACAATTCTTTTTCGGTGTTTTGACTCCATTGATCATACAATTAATTTGAAACTAAGCTGAATTCTATTTACTATGTAACTTAATGTTCTTAGCTACCAAAAATGCTCCACATTACCCGAAATGCCTATTAGTTTCCCATATCAATGTCAGCTAATTTTCATCAATTTATTGTTTATTGACTCATACCATTCTGCGTTCGTTTCCTGTATATTTCTTATTCTCGATATTCTTTTCATTCATTCATATTTTTAATGTCGGTCAGAACATATATTTTCTGTTGTTTTGAAGTATCTGTGTTTTCGGTTGTTGCCTTTTCTCTTTTCAGGCCAGATAAGCACCACTCCATCTACTGAAAATGTTTGTTAGTCTTTTCACCACGAATAATGCTCTTGCATGACCAAGAGTCGGTATCTGTTACAACGGTTCCACGAGGGAGGTGTCGACTGAATCGTCTTCCCATTACGGATCCCAATGCCAATTTACAAACCTGTAGCCATGCATTAGAAATTGTTCCTAAATCGAACCCTTGACCTCAGATTTGTATACTGTGGTTATATCAAGCTGAGCTATATGTACCTGATTAACGAAAGTTTCTTGGCTCAATTATAGGAAAGTTGTATCCAAAGTTTTTTCTAAATTGTTTATCTTTTCATGTAAACATATATTTTGATAAGTTTTAAGCATGTAACATTACCAGGGATAAGGATTCACCGGTATTAAGGTCGGGGTTTCGTGAATCGTGAAGAATTATGGTACAAATTGTTAAGAGAAAGAATTGATGGTAAAATGTTAACTATAATAAGATCTTTATATGAAACAGTTAAGTGTTGTGTGAAGTATGAAGAAAAAATGTCACTTTACTTGTAAAAACGGACTATGCCAGGGAGAAATTCTGTCGCCAATTTTATTTTCCTTATATGTAAATGAATGTGAAATGCACTTTTTAGAAGAAAATTGTCCATTTATTGAAATGCTGTTACTCAATTTGTTCCTGATAATGTACGCTGATGACATTGTCATCATAGCAAAAACTCCTGAAGGTTTCAAAAGATGCTAGATTATCTTTTGAATTATACTAATAAGCGGGATTTAACAGTAAATACTGATAAGACTAAAGTGATTGTTTTTAGAAATGGTGGTAAATTGAGTGACAATGATTACTGGACATATAATGGGGTCCATTTAGACATTGAATATGAGTTTAATAACCTTGGCGTTTTATTCAATTATAACGGAAAGTTTCGTAAAATGCAATCAAAAGTAGCAAAACAAGGTCGAAAAGCATTGCAGTTACAAAAGTGTGTCTGAAACATTATTTAAATTTTGAAACAATATTGTCGGTTTTCGATACATATGTCGCTAGCATTTTAAATAATGGGTCTGAAATATGGGGCAGCATATATAGATAAGTTACATTTAGATTTCTGTAAAAAACTACTTGGTGTTCGTAAAACTACTCCAAATTGTATAATATATTTTGAATTAGGAACATATCAAATGGAAATTAGTCGTAAGTTAATAATGTTTAAGTATTGGATAAAATTGCGTAATACAGATAATTGTATACTTCAGGCATGTCATGAAGAAATGTCTGACTGTGAAGTTCATTGGCGTATGAGTATAAAAAATGAACTGTTTCGGATAGGATTGGGATATATTTTAGAATTGGAAGACACACAAGATGATTTAGTGCCAATTTTTAATAAAGAATCACGGATATTTTCAAACAGGAATGTTTCGAAAAACAGAAACAGGGTTTGTTCGTTATCTGTCTCTAATGATGTAGGAGACGAATTTAATTTTGTTCCTAAATGTCCATTTTATTCCAATTTACGCAATTCATTTATTAAACCTTTCTATATCAGACATATAAGTAAGTATAAATTCATTAAGTTGTTATCCACTTAAAATAAAAAAAGAAATAACTAATTTTGCCAAATTATAAGAATCGCTAGTACAAGACGACAAACTGTACTGAATTAAGTCAATTGTTTCTAACATTTGTCAGCAATACATTATATGTCCTTATCATCAAATATTATTCTAATATTCATTACATTATTTTTAGCAGTGCAAGGAAATTGAGGTCACTATCACAACACAAGCAAGTCAAAATGACGCCAAGCTTTGTGGGGTTATGGTTTTAAAAGTTGAATGATCTAATATGTAAGACATACCGTCGAGGTGTATTGAAGAAGTATGTGAGAAACAACATGGCCTGTCAACACCTACAGGCGTAACAATGCTAAATTGTTTAGTCGTGAATAAGGTTTTTGTAAAGTGATTGTTGTTCATTTGTATAAATGTAAAATAAAAAGATATCGTCGTGTTTCAGTTTTGATGCTTTTGTTTATCCTGTATTGGGGCTTTGCATTTTACACTTAACATTAAATTTAATGTCAACAGCTATGGTATTTTAGGAACGTTTAGATTCCCTGCATATTATCAAAGACAACCCTCTCGATTACTATCTGATATTATGTTACGTTAGAGTAATTTGAAATGTATTTCGAATCTAACTACTGCAGCTTCGAAAGCCATAAACAAATCCTCCAGATTTAAAGCAAGAGTTATCACTCAAATTATTGCATGGTGACAAAATTTCACAGATAAATAATTATATCCCCCCTCCCTCCCAAAGTTCCATGTGTCAGCTCTAATAACATTTACAGAATTGTCCTTCGTTTTTTTCAAGATTTCTTTTTCTATCACCCTTCACATGTGTGTCTCCCGTCTTCCCTGGAAAATCATATTGCCTAGGGGAAGCTGAATTTTGACAAATTCAAAAGTGAAAGACGATATAACAGGATGAAGAAAATAATCATCCTCTACCTTTAGAGCATTACAGAGAAAAGTCTAACCTTCGGGGTGTTTTTGGTGTTCCTTGTCAAACTCTCGGAAGCGACTTCAGTTAGAGAACAAAAAAGCATCACCCCTAGGGTTTACGCTTCTCTGCCATACTCTCGCGGTACGGGATAATCACTCTTCAGGATATAATTTTCATGACACTAGCTAGTGTATGACATAGCAAAATGGCGTGACACCATACAATATTAGAAAAATGTTTTGTGAACACAGTATTGTTCCATGGGAGGTGGTAATTCTACTTAACACGCTGGAACAATAATGACTATGACATTGATGATTTTATTTTTCTTAGAGCGTCATTGACATAATGTTAGCACGTTGTTTGTTATCCAAACAGATACTTGACAGGAAATCGGGAGATGGCTGCCTTAGTGCTCCACACCAGTGCTTGTCTTCGCTGTGGGTTTCTTTAAAAGCTGACATGCTTCAATCTGCAGGCTTCCACGTGTTTACCTGTAAAACATGAATTCACAAATTTACATAGTATTACAGTTCACAAAAATATTAAAACTATTTGATATATTGCCATATAAGCAATAAGGTCTAATCAGAGATACTGAAGGTCAAAAACAAAAACACAAATGACATAAACATGTTTAAAGTGTTAATAAATACATAAGGAATATCGAAAAAGCATGTGCCTACGCCTAAAAAACTTAATTACTTCACACATTTACAACGATAGCTACATCACATAAACTATTCCTAATCTGGTATTTCATGTATTGATATTAGAAATAAGAAAGCATCTAATTAAGAATAAGGTAAGCCGATATGGAAAGGAAAACAAAAAAATGTTTACTAAACAATTTGTCTATATTGCTCAAAAAGGATTCACCAGTTTTACTTCAACTAAATGAATAAGTGATGTCGATAGTGTTTCGGAACATGGTCGAAAAACTTAAAAAATGAAAAAGCTTTTAAAATTGTTAGAAAGGGATTATTTCCAGCTAAATGTTGAATTTACATAGGAGCCTGCCCCCTCATAACTTTTGTTTGAGAAGTGCTACAAGATTTTAAATCACTCTTTTAATCATTTAGATGATTTATTAACCTAATTACAGCATGGGGGTCGAAAAATGGAATATCAGCCTGAAAGAAATTTTCTGAAAACAATCATATTTTTTGTATCGTTATACTTGGGAAAGGACATTTTCGTTCATGTAATGCTTTAATAATATATTTATCATCCAGAATGTGAGTTTAATCGAACTTTTTGTGAAAATTTTAATGTAAAATATAAGACTTTTTATTCTTTTTATTCTTGTATATCAACCATTTTCATAGTATGAAGAGGTGATGCTATTTCAAATATGTATGTAAAAAATCAGTCTAAAACAAGCGGTGGTAAGTATTCATTTCGCATAACAAAGTACCCTGTGTACACCAAAAAGGTGAGGGCCTAAGACACATTCCTGGCGTCCACCAAAATTGGTAATGAAGTTCTTTACAGGCCTACGATAAACCTTTCAGCGCATGTTAGGTCACAAATAATTCCAAATTCCAATTTATTTCATCACTTGGCGTGATTGATAAAGGTTTTGTTAACAATAAATTTTGAGATCAAATGTAATTTTCTTGTCACTTTTTAGAATTTGTTCTTATACATTTTGTTATTATTTTTTATCGTCAGACTTGCGTTTTTACATTGTTTTTATGGTATATTTCATACTCATTTGTTAATATTCATCTCATAATGAAAAGTAAATGTATTGGTGAAGGTCGCCATCGGATCTTCGCGAAATCTCGTTAATATAAAGGTACACGAAATGAAATAAAAAATAATAATAATATAAATGGCTTTTGAATATATTGACTAAAAGTGACAAAGGTTGCTCAAATGAAGAAATAATATTGGTCCGAAGTGCTACATAAGGTATCTGCGTCTCAAAAATTATCCCAAAATGCATTATTAATTTGACAACATTCTTTTGGGAAATTTGGAATTATATATGAATGAAACTTTGGGTGGACTGTAGAAATTACAATTTTTTAAGTTGCGGCCGAATTGGTCATTTGATCGATTATACGAAAAAAATACATTCTTTATATGAATGCATTCTCAGAATTAATCATTACTTTCAGGATTTAGTTGAAACATCTTATAATAAATCAATACGAGTCTTTGACGTGATTTAACCTCAGATGTTGTTATTTGCAATAGATAAAGAAAACCTTTGATTGTTGATTCCTGAACTAATGTATAATAAGCAAAAATATGGAACGATAACTACAGAAACAAAGGAAACATCATAATATTTCTGTAGATGATATGATCAACTAATTAATGACATTGGTCTTGGTCTCATTAAAACGTTCTATCAATATATTGAGCAGTGACAGCATAGGAAATCAGCATAATTTCATTGCCGTGATATGATCCTTATCTTATAGTTTTAATACATGTCAACAGACACACAAAACAACGCAATAATAAACAATAAAAATTGTGAAGACAGTGCAACTACTTTATTCGTGTCAGACAATCACAAGACAGCAAACACGCTCTCCATCTTTAGCTGTCAAGAAAAAAATTGATGACGCATGAAAGGTTCGGATATTACCCGCCCCTGTCACAATGTGTTTTTGCTAGGTCTACGAATATTAGGTATTGCACAAAAGATCTATAATCATTTTAATGTATTTTACATAGAGTTAAAACACGTTATCTGCGAACGATTTTAGAATCTTCAACTTTTTAAGCCAGAAGTGAACGGGCGTTTGAACCCAATACGTTGTCCCTAAACGGGGATTGAGATATTCCAGGCTCACTTGATAGGCGATGTTCAGCTGGTGATATTTTCGAAACATACACTTTTGTGTCTTAAAAACTATATCAATAAATTCTTATCTGTTCCAGATCATTGACATCTTTGATGCTTTGATGAATGTTGTATTCTTTTGAGAAGGGTGTGTAACATCTAGGGATGTCAATATATTAACAGCAATTATGGGAGAAATAAATTGACAGGATTGATATCATTAACGCGTACTCTTTAGTTAAAAGCTATCGTCGCTCAATCAATACGGTAAAATGATCGCAATCGGTCGAGTTCACATTTTTTAAATGTCATTAAGTGATCGTGTTGACTTACTTAAATTAAATGGAATGGTAAGCACGTCACAGGTATCTCATCGTGCAGAAAAGTTACTCTGTAACGATAGCTTTGAGAGAGAGCCACTCACATGACTATGTGTACCCTGTAAAGATTAACGTTACACACAAACCAATGTGATTGGTCCTATGCAATCTAAGCAAAATATAAAGTTGGCAAGAAATGAATTACACTCCGCCATACAGTGTTTCGTCCTTCTAGGACTCATCGGTGATGCTAGGGCCGAAAAGATTGGAATATCATTTATGATCTAAACTACTGTTAAAGCAGAAGGGAATGCGCGTAAAACTATACATGTATTATGTTAGAACAGCGCAGGTTAAGTTCTACTTAAAGAATAAGCAAAGTGTTGTATTACAAATGTATGAACCATGCTACAACGCAAGCGATAACTGTCGCTATCAAGGTTTCGGCGGGCCTTGAGGACTACGAATTCCATCTGCACAGTAAACCAACTTTTATCTTGAAAGGCGAACGTAAGACCCACACAAGTAATGGCACCTGTTAATTTTGGTAATAGATAAAGTATGACCAAATTAATTACACAGCACCATATAGCTGTTTCGTCCCTCGGGAAATCATTGGTGAGATTAGAGGTAAAAAAAGCGGAAATCCCTAAATTGTCTCTACTCGGGATGATTTTCATATTTACTTCCACTATGGCCTGTTTTACTAGTGCTGCTGATGCACAGTAAAGATTGGGTGTCTAACAAATTAGTGAGGTGGGATCTTAGTGTGGTAGGAAACCGGAGAACCCTGAGAAAATCCACGTGGTCGGGCAGGTGACCCCATACCTTTTCACGTCCGATCGGAGAATCGAATTACGAGAACCTTGGTGAAAGGCAAGTGCGCTATCCACTGCGCCATCCGACCATCCACGTCATATTAGGTATTTCACATATTTAGTTAGTGGTACATGTATTGAGTATAGAACTATCGATCTTACACTTCAAATAAAAAATCATCGGAATGACATTATCATATTTATTCAGCATTACTAAATTGTAAGAAATCCATGCATTGCATATAGAGTGGCTTTCCATCTCTTTAATTATCTCTTACTTTCCTGATCTTGATCGACACATATTAGATATTGTTCAGTCCATGAAAAGGAAAAATATTAGCATTGACATGCATGGACATTTTTCAGAAATGCCAACATCACTGATTTCCATTGCAACAACGGCTGTCTTAAATAATTAATGCATAAGGCAGATCACGTTTTCAAATAAAATATATATACTACATGTAGTACAGTGTATCTACCGATTGAGGCTGAAGAACTTTGATTTACAAAATCCTTTGAGTAAGTTTATCTAAGATTATCAATATGATAAGCGGATTTTAAAGTTACGACCGGAGCTGGCAATGATCTGTACGGCTGGTAAAACAGTCAAAGGATGACAAAGATTTTTTCCGCCAGTTTGAAATCAAAGATTTTTTAAGGTGTTCTCTATACTGCGATTATTCTATAAGACTTTGATTTCGCGGAGGCAAACCTCATTTATTTTCCTTTGTAGGGCAATGTGTTCGCTGGGTTTATATTTAGCGTGCTTTCACGATGATAAACCCCAGTGAAAGATATGTGTTAGACACTTCATACGTTTGGTAAAATTATTCACCAGCGTTCAATTTTGTAATTGAATTTATTGCAGTCTATAGGTTTAAAAGCATGATACTACATAAAGTCGTTTTGCTTACTACAAGAATAGTGTTATCCAGGTGTCTCCTTAATAAAATGAATTGAAGAAATAAATGTTCACAATTTCAGATTAGTAAACATGAAGGATGTGACAGAAGCGCAATACATGTGAATGTCAACGGAATCCAGGACATGTATGGCGGGAAGAGTTTGATGGAGCTTAGTTTGGCAATTTATAAGTAAACAAATTAATTTATCTCAATCATGTTGCTATTCCTTTACAAGTTTGATATTTTTGGTAACAGTTTTTTTAACTCCAGGCACAACAAAACAGTTTACAGCGTTTGTAGGCGTTTGATTATTCCAATTTTAAAAATAAATCATTAAAAAAACAAATAAGTAGCAATAACAAAAAAAACTATATTGACAAAATCAGAAGGCGATAGCGGAAATATTTTTTTCAAATGTGTTGGCTTATTTACTTTATTCGGAAAACAAGGACATGTTTGACCCTATATCCACGATTAATCAGTTGCCCTTTTACAATGCACAACTCTGCTTACAATGAATTTCCATTAGGCATTGATATTGTCTTTTGTTGTATTCAAAATGGTTTTGTTTTATCGAATTCACCTGAGTGATTTGTTTCGTAGTGCTCGATTTTTTGTGATTTTCGCGGACACCACTATTCCACGAAAGATTCAAACCGTAAAATTAAAAGCACCAATTAATCTATATATTTACTGCAAGCCAATGTACCATGGCTGCTAGACGTTAAGTCTTGGAACATGAATCCTACAAAATTGACATTTTTTGGCAAATCAACGAAAATTTCGGACTGCGAAAAACAATACATTTTCAATGGGTATTTATAATAAACCAATTTTACGTCTGTCTGTAAACAAATTTACCTAACAACACAATAGCCGATATTGTACTGTTTCTTTCATTTAGTATTGCTGTAAAAGCCATACCTTGTTGAGGGAATTATTGACAGCTGAAGACTAAATGTAACTGATCAAACAAAGTATTAAATTTTATACAATATACATTATAATAATTCCTACCATATTAATTATTTTTGCCTTGCTATTTCAGAATCTAGTATTAATTTTGTTCCTGTTAAGTGAAGCGTTTTTTAAAGATAAGTACAGTATATGTCAGTTCATATGAGTATTTACAAAGTATGTACTTAGGTGTCTGTTACAAGGACCATGCTTGGATCTTAATTGCGCACGTGATCTGCAAAATCTGGTTTTGTTTTGCATGAATCCGGAAAACAGGACAATTTAGAGGCATCACCATAGCTAGTTATAAAACTTGATGTCGGTGTTTTCGCCCCAATTCGCATTTACGTATTAAATATGTGTTATCGCGATTAATGGACAAAATTATTTTACTCGCTTTGTGGAAACACCAATGGATATTTCATGATCTTTATGGATTTATACTGAAACTTCAGTCGCACCAAAAAACTGGCTTTTAATAAGCTGCTTGGTAAAGACTTTGACATTATGAGATACAAAGTAGGGCTAACAACGATATAGGTGATAATGATATCCTTGTACTCGAGACGTTTCTGCTAAGTGTTTTATGTATATTTAAATACTTGTGTGATACTACTATCTGTGCATTGGCAATATTATTGATCAACCCACATCCGTTCAGCACGCGACATATCCGCACACACACGTCATATCCGTTGAACTAACGGTTCCAAAATTTTCAGAGAAATCAAACCTCCAACTAATAGCGTAACACACTTCATATCAATCTGTTCATTGTGTTTCATTTAAGGTAACAATTTAATTATATTAAGAAAATGAATAATACATATTTTTGGTGTGGTTTATGTGTTATTGCAAATATTTTGGAGTTATTGAGCAGTATATGAAAAATAAATTATCATTTTACCACTTCCATGTCCTCTCCTGTATCAGCTTTAACCCAAATGTTGTCATAGGGCCCCCGACCCCTCGAGCTGATATGGGGGTATCGAGCTGATATAGGGGTATCGGGCTGATAGTGGGGTATCGAGCTGGAGCTGATATGGGGTTATCGGGCGGGTATCGGGATGATATAGAAATGGTCATATAATAACCTCTAAATATCAGAGCCTTGTTCTGTAATTAGTAGCGTACAGGTAAAACTATGAATATTTTATATGTTTATTACATAATTACTAATAAGTACCTGGTTTTTTTTGTATATGCGATACGACACAATTGCTCTAACCCGTATCAGCCCTCTCCGTGTTAGTCCGCAAAACCCGTATCACACCCCTTTGGGAACACTTCTGATGTATTCGATCTACCACCGACAACGTCATTCGGAACCCTTGTTTTTCAACTACAAATGCAATTGATTCATTGATTCATTGATTGTGACACCGTTGTAAGCGTCAATCGCTTCTTGAGGTGCTTCTTAATTCTGTCCACTTCACTTCCGGTTGCATTAGGAGCAATAAATATATTCTGATTGAGTTATTGTTGTGTTTATCGCTAGCACTTTATGAAATCGTTTTTTAATATTTCAAACGGAAAATAGATCATAAGATAGTATATATAATCGTATTTTATAAGTAATTATCATATGCTTGCTTTAGATATCGACCAAATTGCATAATTGATACTGGATCATTCCAGTTGTCGATGTTGCCCGCCCGTGTAATAACCTATCGATATCAGCCCGCATCCGGCGATATCAGCCCGCTTCCGAATATATCAGCCCGCATCTCTCGTCTACAATGGAGTCTCATGGAGAGGCAGTACTCGAGTCGTTAGCTCAACGAATACTTGAATTAGATGAACTTAAGGACAAAGAAAATGACCAAAGGTTGGAAGAGGCAAGGTTTGTTTACATCGAAAGGGAGGACACCGGTAGTTTTGTCGACAGCATAAAAAACGGCAACACGAAGAGGAAAACTCAGAATGACATAAAGTAAAATGTATACAATAAAAATGTTTTAACATGCCTGTTTTCATATCAGACTCCATATTGGCCCTCAACCTATATCAGGCCCGCGGGCATTCGGCCCTTTGCCTGATATATTTAGCTCGGGCCAATCTGGGGACGGATGGCATGTACTAACCTCTAAGTATGAAATAAACAGAATAAAAATTCCTCTTCCCCTATCACACCCAATATTAACCCTCGACCAATATTCCTGAGATTGGTGTCTCGGATTGATAGTGGGTGTGATAGGGTAAAGGACATGTATTATTCTCTATGTAATACACTCTCTCTCTCTCTCTCTCTCTCGCGTTACAGTAATAAAACAAGATGCAGAAACATTAACTCTAGAAGACGTTAATTGCCTTCTCTACAGACGCCTTAAAGGCGTTGAAATAACTTTCCCCATATTGAAGCCATATTTTAGCTCAAATCATTCCCAATTGACAGTTAACAGTTAAAACATATAGTCATCCGCTTTGAAATAATACACGGCTGTGATAATTATCTGATGTTGTTAACACGAATAACACAAACAACCTTATTTTCTATTTGCTGTAAATATGTTAACTGTGAAAAATGGTTTTCCTTTATACATTTATTGTTATATATGTTAGGCCTTGTAAACATTGAAGTCATTGATCGGCTGCTGATGACGCAAGTCGAGATGCTGGCCCTAATTGGTAAAAGTGATCTGAGGGGTCGCGTCCCTTGGCTGATTAAGCAGCCATTTTCGAATTATTAACGTCACTGGCATTTTAACATGTCGTTTTTCGGCAACCCCACTTAGGCTAGCTACTTAGGTTTTTGGTTATTTTTTTATTGTAATTGTAAGCATAAATACATATAAAGATAAACCTACGCCAATAAAAATAACTGGATAATTTATACCTAATAAGCATTGTGTGAGTATAGGACTCGGTGATAATGTAGCTTGCACTGTTAAATATATTCTTATTTATTAAGGGTGGGGATGAAAAGGCGCTATACATGTGGAAGCCTTAGCCGTCGTTAAGAATTAAAGCGTGAATGTGTTGATAGCAACTCAACTCCCGAAACTTGAACTGGAGCCTTAACGTAAGCGTAGATATTTTCTAACAGCTCTATGTAATGTTACCTATTCAGTGAGTCAAATGTAGAATTATATGTTTGAATTTTTAAATAAACAAAGAATAAAGGCAGTTTGGATATCTACCTTCGGGAAGTCGAAACTGTTGGTTAAAAATCTTACAAGTGACAGAGCGATATATTGCTTTGATAATGGAATTATGAGTTGATGTTGATTTTACTGCCTTGTGCATTGTGAAATTATAGCGAGATATAATTTGAGTAAAAGTAAATGTGAATCGTAATGCAGCGTAACGCTTAAAATAACGGGCATTTATCTTAGATTAGCACCAGTACCAATGTCTTTAAACGATTCTCTTGATCAATGTTTTATTACAGCAAGCGGGCAATTGCCTTAATTGTGAGCCTTCGACATAATTTTATGCATGTACCCAGGAAACCGAGAGCGGAACCACCGTGTTTCGAAGGTGCATACTTTTGAGTTTCCGGTAGCACGATATTGTAAAATACGGAAATTGTCACAATAAATGTGCTAATTCTTCCAATATCCACGTGTATCTAGATAACAGTGATTTCTTTCGTTCAACTTCAAATGCATACATGCATTAAAATGTCCAAAACATGTTTAAACTTTCAACCAAATCAACTACAGGTGTATAACAAATTAATTTAACTGACAGATTATCGCATACACCTGTGTAGATTTTATTGTAGAATTAAAAGTATCTAGTCCAGGTACATGTAACAGCGTCTACCTACTATTTATTTGGCTTCAGCACCGGACAAAGACGTTCCACCTGACAAAACGACAGCTGTCAGCTTTCTACTTGTTCTTGTCTTTCAGTCGTGCAATGCGATGCAATTTAGTTGTTATTTATTTGTGTTAGGGATACTTTCAAACAAATAAAACGAGAATAAAAAAAAAACAACACATTACGCTTGTTATCAGACCGGAACACTAGATTAATACACATTTGACAATTGATATTTTTACATAAACGACAGTTACAGCAATAACGGACATTAACTGAGCAGGTATTACTATGTGTCACCCAATACTCGTTGCGAAATTCATCTCGCTTTGTTGTAAACTTAGGACACAGAGCTACAACTACAGGAGACCCTTCATTACAAGTTGACCTTGAGGAGAACAAATATTCGTTTCAATAAAAAAAAATCCCCGTTTATCTGACTTTTGAATTATAAACTCAAGAAAACTAAAAACGAGAGAAGGCAACGGCAATGCTCCAAAACGATCCGGAACAGCCCATCCGGGTATTGCCTTAAGATAAAGTACACTTAAGCCCATACTAGTGGAACCATTGTTAACGGATCGTACGTTATTTTAAGAATCTGATGTTTAATTATCCAATTTGAAATATATAATAGTATAGTATAGTAAATATGGCGTATATTAATTTTAGATGTAAAGTATTTATATTTATGATTCGATATGTAACGCTAAAGATCGAAGTTCTCTAGTAAAACCTGTTAACCATTTTATGCGAACGAAATAATGTCGACTAATGTCGACTTTAATAATAGTTTTCATAATTGTTTTAAAAATGACTGTTAACCGAGCAGTAATTTATTATTGTGTTATACCTACCTTCCTCCCCACGCGCCAAAATCTCTTTTGATGTCAAGTTTGTTGGTGCTAAGAACATCTCCATCGCTTGTGTATGGCTGAATGTTGTCTTTTTCGGGAAGAGCTTTGTCATCAGATATTTCATTTTTTCCAGAATTCAACGGAATATTTTCCGGTCCAATGTTTATAAAGTCACTGTTCAGGTTTTGTAAACCGGCTAAACGTTTCCCACCCCATGCGTGAAAAGCTCTCCGAATCACATCTTGGAAATTTGCAGGTATGTTTGTTTCTGAACGTTTTCCGCCCCAAGCATGAAAAGCCCTTCGGAAAACATCAGAGAAATCTTCCTGTGAATTTTGTTCCGAACGTTTCCCTGCCCATGGGTGAAAATTTGGTCGTTTCAATTCGGCCTGTGGATTCAAAGTTTGCTGTCTTTGTCTTCTTATCCAGAATCGGATTATCTTATCGGACGGATTGTTAGTGTCCACTTTAGAACAGACAATTCGGCTCTCTGCTTTTAAAGTTCTTTGAGATATAAGAACATATGTCGTGAAAATAACTATTGGCAGCATCTCGGCAACATTAAAACCCATTTTTGGTGAAGGATCTTGCCTTTCGTCGTTTTTGTTTATCCGGTAGATGTCTTATATAGTAAGACGACAAACAGTTGCTATGGCAACACACGATAAGAAACTTTCTAATCACCCACGCGCATTGCACAAGGAGATAATATGTATATCAGCTGTTCAGTCTTTTAAAGAAACCCGCGACGTACGCGCACATTATAATTTCATGTATAATTCTCTCGAAATGGTTTTGAAATTTGATCATCGCATTTTCGGAGTGAATACCAAATGCCTTTACCATTGCCTGTCGGAATAAGAAAACACTATTTAAGCAATAGGGGATTCAGTACAAGGTGTCGGTCTCTACACCGGGAGCATTCATTGTTAACAGCGGGCACGATGATAAACATTTTTAAACGACAATTTCTTCATCTAGACGCGAAACCTAATGGCCTAACTTAATAGATCAACACACTCGACGGGACAGCGGTAAAAGGTTAGGACAGAGACATGACGAGCCAGCTATCGGGTATTCACTTCAGTGTATACGTCAATGGCCCTTCTAGGAACAAACGGAGACAGCTAATCAAAAGACAAATCGTAATTACATTCTTTTAGATATCTTGATAGTGGATGTGATGAAAAGCTAAAGTGGTATGTTGAAATCTATAAAGAAATGTAATAAACCACTGATAAAGTTGATGGTTTTACGTATTACTCAACATATCAATAGCTGTGATCTCACATTTAACTTTATTATATAGTTTAGCCATATTGCCATTTCAATCATGTTTACCATTTAATAAAAAAAGGTTTGATACAAATATTTTGTTTTAAAGATACTAATGTTCGTACTCTGATGTTGGACGTATAGACATTAAAAAAATCATCTCAAAATAACACACATATGCATGAATATATTTCTAACGTGAAAAAAAAGGAAAAAACTAATTATCATATATTTTTTCGTGATATAGGCCACTTTGCATGAATGATACTACATGTATTAGCTGTGCATAAGCCAAACCCCGAACCAACCCTATCCGCCGGGCGCGCGACATATCTGTATAACTTCCGGTCAACACTTCTGAAAAGTCATGCCTCAATATTCTGAGCAGTATTTGAAACAAACTTTGTAGATAGCACAATGCATTTCTATCTACATTTGTTATGCTGTTCATTTTATTTTAAGGTACAATGGGGTTAAATTAAGCATGATATATATTTTTGCTGAGTGTTGTATGTATTATTGTTAATAATATTGATGTTATAGAGCAGTATATGATAAATAAAATACCATATGACCATTTAAGGATTAAGTCTTGTTTTGGTCGATTTCATGACGTAATGAATTGACTCAATGCATCACCTATTGAAATCGACCAAAGCAAGATTCAAACCTTATATGTTAATCAAGGTGTGTGTTTTCCTTAATAATTGGAACTTGTGAAGTCCATTCTGATATTTTGCCTTATGTTCTGGAGCTTGTACAAGTCTACGAATCGTTGACATAATGTAAAAAATATAGTCTATCATTGAAGGATCATCATTGGGTACGCTGTTAGTTCAATACAGTCGAATTATGAAGAAACAAAAGACAAAACCATATTTTAAATGACATATTTAATTTTTGTTGATGAATTCATAAGATATCAAATTTTCTGACACGTCATCCCGGAAGAACAATGTCTAGACTTCGATTTGTACCCGGGGTTTCTGTGTGCTGTGACCATACCCGTATAGCATATGTGTATTTCAGACATTTGTAACGAACCCTGTGATTTGTACCGAGGGTTGATACTGACACAAGATGCAGAAAAGGGTGGCTGGAGGGAGAATTGCTAGGGCAGTACATGACTTGTCACTACCGCTAGCAACCATGAGCTGGTAACATTTTGCTTGGTGATTGATCGTTTTTTGTTTTTTTGAACAAAATTTTGTGTAGCTTCAAATAAACATTCAATCAAATTATAAAATTTCATGAAGTGGTATCTTCTAGTCTGGTCAAATCCATCGGCAAATGAAACAGGTTACATTTGGTAGTTGCATCGAGTCTTACTTGAGTAAGAATTGACATATTTGCATAACCTACTCCGCATCATCCATTAACCCATACGTGCCCTCGGGCCTTTGACCCCTTGGGGGTGAATTGGGAGTATTTTGCTGATAAGAAATACTCTCATGTTTATCTTTGTTACACTGTACTTATTTGAATCCGAGAACCCGATGTTCATAAATCGTATATATATTTAAATTATTCATTCAAAATAATATCGATTACCGATATCTGTAACGTTTAAAACAATTATTAAATAATCATTTTGAAATTTGGTATAAACGACTCGATAAGCTTCTTATGAATTATGTTTTGAGCATATTTGTTTCCGGAGTTTTTCAGGAAAATTATCTAGCTATTAGATTGGATATATACGTACTGAAGTAAATGAATGCAATTAAAAAAATACGGTTATCATTTATAATAGATTTAAACAAACGAGTACTCATTAAATCTTCAAAAGATGATGAAATGAAGATAAATAAAATATTTTCAAGAGGCTTACGAAACATGAAACATTTTACACTATCAAGGCCTTAGATTTTTTAAATCGGATGATCTGATGATAGTTAAAAAAGGGCACTGTGGTAACTTAATTATTTATTTTAAGAACATCTTATACAATGTATGCATCATGAGGCGTTGAACCGCTGTTGTCTTGATGAAAGGCTAGAGCTCTATTCACGTTACGTAATTTCACAAACAAATAACTGGCGTACTTTTGGTTTAAAAACAGTCATCATTGTTGTATTTTAGTCAGATGGAAATATTTTAAATATAACTATATCGGTATAAAAGCTGTTCTTCGTTGT